GCTACCTTTGATTTGATGGTTTTATTAGCTCCAGGCATATGGGCTGACACATTAAGTCAGAGAGCCATAGGGTGTCAATATTACAAGTTCCCTGAGTGATTCCCTAATGGAAACTGAAATCCTACAGGAGAAGTGACTTCCCAAGGCCACAGAGGAAGATGGTGACATGCCAGATTCTAGGTTGGAGATGAATCTTTACATCTGCCAGCTTCAATCTGCCACTCCTCCACCATACCATTTTCTGTCCATTAGTGCATTCATAGGGGTCAGTTCAACAGCTCGCTTTCCAGCCTAGCAAATAAGAAGAAATAGCAGGTCCAGGTCAGGTTGGCTCTGATGTAGGAGGCAGCAGGAGGGAGGAGAGCACAGCTTAGGAAGGGCCATGCAGGGCTCTGAGCTTTGAGGGCAAGGGAGTAGAGACAGCATAGGGTAGGGTGTGGGAGAGTAGGTATCACAAGGGACAAAAACAGGGCTGGGAAAAGGCAATGAGAGGGCGCAAGGACACATTCCATCTGGTGAGTCTCTTCCTTTAGTTCTGGATGGATCAGGGATATTTAGGAATGGGATATTTTTTCTTAAAGTAGCAAAAATACTGTCCTAGAAGTTAAGAAGATCAACCACCTGGTTTTATGATCTTGGATAAGTCATGTGCTCTCCCTGAGCCTCAGTTTCCTCATCTGTAGTAATGATCACACTGACGGGAGATGAGACACTGTGAAAACTTTTACATATGTTATAATCCTCACAGCAACTCTTCAGGGACCTCTCCCTTTTTCAGATGAGAAAATTTAGATTCTGAGATAGCAGGAACTTGTCCAAGCATATGTAGCAGACAGTGGCAGAGCTTGGGTTTCACCTGAGGTTAGTCGGGGCTCCGCCCCATGGCTCATTTTCCTGGGCCCCTAATCATCTATTGAGCAAAAGGCAGAATCAATGACCTTCAAGATCCCTCGTGTTTCCAAATTCAGAATTAAGCAATTATGCTAAATCTCCGAGCCTTGGTTAATTCATCTACTCTCTCTGAACATTGTATATATCTCTTGAACAATTCTAGCCAGTTGAAATCTTGATGTTTGTTCTGTACAAAGTTTATAGACCTTCACCAAAATTAAATAGGACCAGACAAATGGCACCCTAGTCTTTGAGGAATAATAAAGACTTTGTCTTTTAGAGATACACCATTCATTCACCAAATCCAAGCTCTCCCTAGAGCCATAGGGTGCCGAAGAGCTCATTCTTTTTCCTACAATGCAATTATTTAATTACTAATGGATATGTTGCGATGTTTAAGAAACTGAAATTTGGCTCCTAGATTCAAAAGTATTCTCAGTTGTCCTTCTAGGCAATGGAATGATTGACATTCTCTAAAGATGACAGCCATGTTGGATTATCCCAAATACTTGAGTCTTTACTGCTAGGAGAGCTTCCTCATATCCATTTGAGGGATCTAGTTTAATCCTATATCTACATGCCATCCTCATATGTAAAAATAAAAATTTTCATGAAGAAATTCAGCTTAGAAACATATTCCTTTTTTTCTGGATTTTTTTTAATGGTAGATATTTCTAAATGCATTATTGGGTCTTTTTGGCTTCACATTGGGTCTTACTAACACATATGATCATCATCCTTCTGTCCTGGTTTTGCTGTGGATTTTTAATTTTCCCTAAATAACTGCTCCAGAAACTCTCAAAGTTACCTAATTAGTGATTACACTTTGCAAATCAAGAAGAGCATCTCCCAGCTAGTTGACTCAGTCAGTTAGAGCAGGTTGCTAATAATTAGGCCACAGCTACAGGTCTGGGCTGTGCGTGAGCCAGTTAGTAAGTGCAGACAGCACACAAAGGTGAAGATAAGGCTGTGGTCCCAAGAAGGACCAGGCAAGGATGCAGATGTCCAAGAGACATCCATCCCTACTAAAAGGAAAAAAAAATGCTACTGAGTCATAATATCACGTTGCAATGATTGGAAACAAAAAGGAAGGGAAGGAGGAAGGGTGAGAGAAATGGAGCAGGAGGGATAGAAAGGAAGGAGAGAGGAAGGGAGGGAAGGAGGAAACCCAACAAATAATCCCAGACAAGTTCATGGAGATAAATAATAAAGGAGGACTCACAGAAGGAGCGGTATCTGAAGTATGGCACGACCCCTGATCAGGGCTCTTGTTCCTAGCGGGCCGTGACGCAGCTCCGTCTTTACCTGCTCGATGGATCTTGCACTGCTGATGCACTGCTTTAATTTGGGAAGCCTTTCTCTTGAGAGGCATGTCTTTTCTTGCTCTAAGTCTAAAGTGCTCCCATGTGTGGCATTCTCGGTGACAGATGTACTACAGTTATGCTTTAGCTGACTCCAAAGCCATAGCTTCCCAGTGCCTGAGTGGTCTATTTGATGTCCAAGAGTGTGTTTCCTCTGAGAGCAGGTCTTTGCTGGAATATCATCCAAGAAGGTAGGAAGGTATAATCCCTTTGTTCTAAAGCAGCCCCTGTTAAATTCTGCAATCCCTGCCCACCCAAAGGCTATTCTCTCAGAAGGTCCAAAGTGCAACTGCTGAGGTGCATCGAAGCCCTTAGAAAGCCTGTGGAAAAGTGCTAAGATCTGAGAGTCCTCTCTCTTCTCTACCCACCCCCCCAAGGTTATTCCATTTTCATGGATGACCCCACTTCCACATGACCCTCTGTAAGGACAAGGATTTCAAAAATACTTGAACACCTCCAAGGACACAAGAGCCTCTTTCCAGCCTCCCATCCATAGCTCTCCTTTTTATAGGAGTGTTGGAGTCTCGATGATGGGATGGATCTAAGACATGACTGGTGGGGCCAGCCAATTCTCTATGTGTCCATCTGTGATTATTTTGCACGTCTTGTCACTGGTGAAGCACTGTCATTTTTCTCTGAATTCTAATCTTCCTACCATCCAAGCCCATTCTTGAAGGAAGGCAGAAATGTAGCCACGGGCCATTCTGTTGGAACTTGTGCCACTTGTCCTCTAGCAGGAGTTGCAGCTCCCCCTGCCAGCACTGATGTCTGCTGAAGGAGGCCTTGCCCACTCTGTCTCACATCCAAGGTGAAGAAATTTACTCCATCTACCAGTCTGAGTTCTCTCTGGGCGTCCTGAGTAGATCAGAAAGGGCTTGAGTCTTAGCGAAAAGACTTTTCCTCTTAGGCCTTAAAGTAGCTCTGAAGTTAAAAGTATAGAAAGCTCACTGCTATATAAAGTTGACTTCTAAAATTAAAAGATATCTTCCATTTTGGACTTAATACTTGCTTTTTTAGTATTTTCACTTGAGATAATAGTCTAATTATTCCACGGCCCAGTACCTGAGGGAATAAAAAGAGAATTTGAAGTTTTGATTGTAATTGCTTATATTTTCTTACTGTGCCTTTATTGTAAGTATAACTCTTGGCTTACTTTTCTCTCGGATAGTTTCCTGCCTTGTATTTATAAATTACTTTCAGTGACATTTATTTAGTAAAGACAAACTGTGAGCTGCTTAGGAGGCTGAGGCAGGAGGATTGTGAGTTCAAAGCCAGCCTCAACAACTTAACATGGCCCGAAGCAACTTAACAAGAGTCTATCTCTAAGTCAAATAGTTTTTAAAGGGCTGGGGATGTGATTCAGGGCTCTGTGATTAAATGCCCCTGGGTTCAGTCCTCAGTACAAAAAAAAAAAAAAAAAAAAAAAAAGACAAACTATGAACAATCTAACATACCAATATCACCACAGAGCTGTGGCATAATAATTACTAATAAATTAACTGGGACTAAAAGTCTTCAAAATGCAGAGAGCGATATGATCCTACAATTTGATAAAGACAGGCTGATACA